TGTTGGAGGTGGAAGATACCTGAGCGTGTAATGTTAATTTTTACCTGTGTTCATTGAATAAATCAGCACTGTATTGAAGCTACTTGGACTGCCTCGTCTCTCAGAGTTAGCATGGTACAAGAACCGGAAGACTTCAGGCTTCTTGGGACTTTTCCACTCTGAATATCACATTTAAATTCAATTGGCTAGGACGGTTATTAAGAAATGACTCATCTGTCAGAACTGGTGGCCTCCCCTTCTTATTGATGTGTAGTTATAAAAACATACAGTGCCTTGCGAAAGTATTCGGCCCCCTTGAACTTTGCGACCTTTTGCCACATTTCAGGCTTCAAACATAAAGATATAAAACTGTAATTTTTTGTGAAGAATCAACAACAAGTGGGACACAATCATGAAGTGGAACGAAATTTATTGGATATTTCAAACTTTTTTAACAAATAAAAAACTGAAAAATTGGGCGTGCAAAATTATTCAAATCCACATAAGGGATGACGGCAACATTCATAGATCCTGGAATGCACAATGAGGGGCAATGTTCATTCCTATTACAGAGGCCCACTGAAATTTTTTTGAGGAAAAGCTGTGTTAGACTGCATATTGTTTATAGTAAAGTATTTTTATATACAAATATAAAAATGAAAATGTTTCTGGAGTGGGACTTTAATTAATTATAGAAGTTGTGCAGAAGCTGCCCATAGCTCTACACAGTGATCCATGTGTGTACTGTATGTGTTTCTATGCTGCTCCAAATGAGTCTGTTCTGGTTCAACTTGTCTTATTAAATGAGCTTAAAAATAAAGTGACACCTTAGTTATAAAACACTGAGCAGGCTGTAACACACAAGAGTGTGTATGCAAAACGTTATGTTTGGCGTAAAAGCAACACAGCTCATCACCCTGAACACACCATCCCCACTGTCAAACATGGTGGTGGCAGCATCATGGTTTGGGGCTGCTTTTCTTCAGCAGGGACAGGGAAGATGGTTAAAATTGATGGGAAGATGGATGGAGCCAAATACAGGACCATTCTGGATGGAAACCTGATGGAGTCTGCAAAAGACCTGAGACTGGGATGGAGATTTGTCTTCCAACAAGACAATGATCCAAGACATAAAGCAAAATCTACAATGGAATGGTTCACAAATAAACATATCCAGGTGTTAGAATGGCCAAGTCAAAGTCCAGACCTGAATCCAATCGAGAATCTGTGGAAAGAACTGAAAACTGCTGTTCACAAACGCTCTCTATCCAACCTCACTGAGCTCGAGCTGTTTTGCAAGGAGGAATGGGCAAAAATTTCCGTCTCTCGATGTGCAAAACTGATAGAGACATACCCCAAGTGACTTACAGCTGTAATCGCAGCAAAAGGTGGCGCTACAAAGTATTAACTTAAGGGGGCTGAATAATTTTGCATGCCCAATTTTTCAGTTTTTTATTTGTTAGAAAAGTTTGAAATATCCAATAAATTTCGTTCCACTTCATGATTGTGTCCCACTTGTTGTTGATTCTTCACAAAAAATTACAGTTTTATATCTTTATGTTTGAAGCCTGAAATGTGGCAAAAGGTCGCAAAGTTCAAGGGGGCCGAATACTTTCGCAAGGCACTGTATAATCAGCCAATCATCAAAATATCTATTTTATCATGGACATTGATCTACAAACATTATTTCTCTCCACAACTTCATTATATCTGGAATAATGGGGACATATCACACAAAAACAAATGATTGTTTTTACAAAACTGGTTCGAGAAGAACATTGTTTAACTCAGGTTGTTAGGTATTTTTTAGTCAGATAGAAATTGGTTAGATACTTGTATTAGAAATGTTTAGTGGAGACAGGATGTCTAGGTAGGCTGTTAAATGCTTAGTCATTCTCATGGGTTTTTAGCAGGGTGCATATGGTCAAGGATAACTAGATAGAAAAAGTTTGATTGTCAGCAGGCAGGATGATTATTGTTATTATTATGATATGTTTAACCGTAATTGTAATCATAATATTTTCTTATGTTTAATGTCATGACATGTCACTAGATGTCATGTCAGAATGTTCTTAGATACACACCACTTAATCAACAATCACACACATTGATTCTCTCCATGTTTTGACTACTGCTATGGTCAGCTGTAAAGCTGGCATATCAGGTGACGCCACGGTTTGACGTCCCTGTGTAGTATGGGGCTAGCCCAACCGAAGTGATAAAATGTATAGGCTATTGTGGTTCAGGGTCTTTCATTCTTCATCTGCCTGCGTGCAGTATTGGAGGTGGAGGATACCTGGACGTGTAATGTTAATTTTACCTGTGATTCTTTGAATAAATCAGCACGTTTTTTTTATATATCCAAGTGGTCCGCTTCGTCTCTCTGAGTTCCACTGGTTAAAAGAACCGAAAAAAGCTTTCAAGGTCATCTCACCCATTACAGTGAATTCAATTCTGTTTTCCAGTATCAATTACAGCATATAATATTGTGATTAGAGCCATTCCTAAATAAATAATGCCCCCCATTGACTCTCCCTGTGGTAAAGTCTGTTATTTTAAAACATGCCGGTCGCTTAATTTCTGCGCAAAGCAAGAACGTTTACATAGGAAATAGTGAAAGAGGCCGATTGACCCTGAACTCACCGTGAGCTCGGAGGCCTGGACGTTCGGTACCGGGACTCTGCCCAGCAGACCGGCTCTCTCCCCCTCCGCGCCTCGGGAGCTCAGCAGGTGGCTGACTGCGGCTCCGAGTCCTGCTCCCAACAACAAAGTCCCTCCAATCCTACACCACCGCCTCATGCTGCCGGTGGATCAGCTCCTAGTGGCGCGCTCGGATGACGTCACGATACATCGGTGTGGTTTTAGGGAGCCCATGGCACTTTACCTTGTTTTCTGACTTATCTACAATGTTACAACTGTGAATTCTCGTCTTAGACGTGACCTAAAGCTAAAAAAATGAGGTTTACATATGTTCTACTACTTCTATGCAGAAGCAGTATGGTTTATACACGTCTCGCAAACTCTAGCCTGTGAGACTTTTTCTAACAAGATTAAGTAGCTTTAGGTCGCGTTTTGAAGAAAATTCCCTTCAAAATAAGAGCTGCCAACAGGAAGTGAGGCCCAGAACCTCACAGATTCAGATCTTTTTTTTTATCTCCATTGTGAGTCTGATAAAGTCACAGTAGTGTGTTGAGGGATCTGTGGAATGCTTCTTTAATGGCAGCTCAGGTGATGATTGACATGAAAAATCTGTGCATTACTTGTTAAACACTGACACTTAATCAAGAGATGTGATGGAAAAATGCCTGCTGTCGAACGTGTTCTCGTAAATTGAAAAGAAAAGGCTAAATATAAAGATATTTCACAGTGTGAAATTTATTATGCATTAACGTATCAAAATAAGCATGTGCACATGGTTCTTGACTGTTTAGGATAAACAGAAAAGACTGACTCCAACTTGGCGGTATACAATATTTGTATGAAAAGATGTTACTATCTGATTGGTCCAAAACTGTTGGGGAGGAGTTGTGGTTTAAACTTAACTCTCCCAAGATTGGTCCTTCAATCCGTCCATCCTCCAATCATCCTTTCTGCTCCAATGGTCGTGGACAGCGTCCTAAAAATGGAGGAATTCCTATACTGTCATAATTCCTACATAGACACTTATGTCTTCCTTTGTTTCTAAGGAACTGCTACATTTTAGACATTGCTTTCCTGTTCCAATAAAACTGCTCTGCCTGTGTGTATATTGCCCTCTTCCTGGGCTCAGATCTAATCTCTGTCTCAACTATTCAAAGAATTCCAAGAAACTATAGCTCCCCCGGCCCATTAGCCAGGTGGTGGTAATAAAGTAACCGTGGACCCTCTTTGCTAAAGCTGTAAATCTAATGAGTTTTCAGTGTTTTAGTGAACCAGTCTCCCTTGATGTTAACCAGTGCTCCAGTTGGCTAACACAGTAAATACTGACCATTGATTCAGTGCACACATAGGGTGATATGTAGATATGTAACTACATAAACATAAACACAACTGTGAGATTAAAGTATATAAACTTATGTATGCTATATAATTAAAACCCTAACTAATTATATTCATTTCTATCTAAAAATGAAAATCACCCTAACACTGCATAGGTGAATCAACCTGACATCATAGACTGTGATATCATATCCTGTCCCAACAGGTAACAAGCTGAGCTCAGTAAGGAGATGTTTCCACATTTTAAGTTGTCAATATAAAGGACTGAGGTGGAGTCAGCAGCAGGTGGAGGCTGTCAGACTTAAGCTCAGCAGGTACAGGTGTGAGATCAGAGGGGAGGAGGAGTCTTCAGCATTTTCAAGGCAACCAGCCTTCTTCAGACAGATGCTCTCTTCACAGAACGGACCTGCACACACGATGACATCATGTTAGGTAATTTCTTAGTTATATAAGCTAATATTTCTCTGAAGCTTCTTCCGGTTCTTTCAAACCAGGAACTCTCAATGAGACGAAGTAGACTGCTTTAGATTTTATAAAAAATAACCGTGCTGGTTTATTCAGAGGATCACAGGTAAAATTCACATTACACGTCCAGACCTTTCTCTCACCCTCTACCTGCGCGCAGGCAGCAGAAAGGCTCAAGAAGCCTGGACCAAAAAGCCTATATAATCTTAATCATTTTTGGGCTAGCCCATGCTACAAGGGGCGTCAAAACCGTGACGTCACCCGATAAGCAAGCTTTGCAGCTGCTATAACGTTAGCCAAAACATGAGGA